ACACCGAAAATGGCCATTGGGAATTTTTGAGAATGCCGTTTGGTCTTAAAAATTCACCAGCCACGTTCCAACGAGTGATGGATAACATCCTCCGAGGAATTCAAAACGAAAAATGTCTCGTTTACCTCGATGACATTATCGTATTTTCGACGTCTCTTCAAGAGCACTTAGAAAGGCTACGATCTGTCTTTACCCGACTACGCGAATCTAACTTTAAAATTCAGTTAGATAAATCCGAGTTTCTAAGAAAAGAGGTTGCATACCTCGGACATATAGTAACTCCTGAAGGCGTGAAACCTAACCCCGACAAAATCTCAGCAATACAAAATTTCCCTATACCAAAAACTAATAGGCAAATAAAAAGCTTTTTAGGACTCTTAGGCTATTATCGGCGATTTATTCCAAATTTCGCTCATCTCACGAAACCTCTCACTAAGTGCCTCAAAAAAGGCGCAAAAATTGTTCACGACGACGAATTTGTATCATGTTTCGAAAACTGTAAGACATTACTTACCAACGACCCAATACTTCAGTACCCAGACTTCACAAGACCGTTCAATTTGACAACTGACGCAAGCAATGTAGCTTTAGGGGCAGTTCTTAGTCAGGGTCCAATCGGTAGTGATTTGCCTGTAGCTTATGCGTCACGAACCTTAAATGATTCGGAAAGAAATTACAGCACTACCGAAAAAGAGTTGTTAGCTATAGTGTGGGCTACCAAATATTTCAGACCTTACCTCTATGGGCAGACCTTCAATATTATAACAGATCATAAACCCCTCCAGTACCTTTATTCATTAAAGGAAGGCGTCTCCTCAAAATTAATGAGATGGAAAATGAAACTTGACGAATATAATTTCAAAATCATCTATAAAAAAGGCAAACTCAATACAAATGCTGACGCTCTTTCTAGAATCGAAATTCATACTAAGGAAACTAACGATTTTTGGGAACAACTCGATGACTTCCTTGGAGAAGCCTCCAACTATCAGAATCAAAGAATTACCTTTGTAGATCAAAATTTAAACACACCTCCCACGACACAAGCTAATCCAAATTCACCACTGATAATTCAAGATATTAGCTACCCCAATTTAAACCCTGAACTAGACGATATCTCAATGATTGTCAACTTGGACAATGAAACAGATCAACCTGACTGTCAGGAACTTCCTACCGTTGACAATACAAATACTGACAAAGATATAATCAATGAAACAGAACAAACTGACTACCACGAACTTCCTTTTGTTATTGACAAAACCAATACTAATGAAGACGAACTTGACAAAGATGATGAAACCCGGCACTCTAATAATCAACACCCGGTTGTTACAATTCCTATATCAGACCAACCATTGAACTTTGGCCAAAATCAGATCGTAATTAAAACGGTCCTGCACTCTCCCGCCAAGCCGAAAATCATAATTTTATTCGAGAGAAAACAGCGGCTATTAGTGCAAATTTCAAAGAACAACCTTGAATCAGATGTTGTAAATTTTGTCAAGGAATATATTGTACCGGATGTCCCATACTATATATATTTCGAAGATCCTGACATATACGAACCCTTCTCAGGCGCTTTACAAAAGTATTTTAAATGGCCCTCTATCAAGTTTAAAAGGTGTCTTGAAAAACTTCTAGACATCACTAGTAATGATGAAATTAAAAGTTTAATACAAAATTATCATGAAGGGAAATCAAATCATCGCGGGATCGATGAAACCTGTTCTCGCTTAAAACAAAAGTACTATTGGCCAAATTTGAAAAGTTCCGTTCAGTCATACATAAATGACTGCGAAATCTGTCAACAAGCCAAATACGAGAGACACCCTGTTAAAGCGCAAATGAATATCACTCCCACTGCTGTGAAGCCATTTGAAATAATTCACATGGACACATACACATTTGAAAAATCTAAATTTTTGACCATTATCGATAGTTTTTCAAAGTACGCTCAAGCTTACCATCTCAATTCAATGACAGGTACCGAAGTAGCTGACAACCTTATCCGATACTTTTCCCATCATGGAATCCCGACACAAGTTATTACTGACAATGGCACCGAGTTTAAAAACTCAGTCATATCCGAGTTATTAGGTTTACATGGAATCGAAATACATTTCTGTTCCCCGAACCATCCCCAGTCAAATGGCGTAGTCGAAAGATTTCATTCGACAATATCTGAGCAACTCCGAATTTTAAACACTCAAGGCTTTCAAAAAACATCTGTCCAAATGAAAATGATATACGCAATCTTAGCATACAACAACTCTGTTCATTCTGTGACTAAATTAAAACCCATCGATGTCATAAATGGTCATCTCAGTGAAAAAGATACATTTGACATCAGCTTAGACCAAATTTTGTTGAATGATTATGTAGAACAACACAAAGCACGCAGTAAGCTATTATATACCAAAATCAACGAGGCGCTTGTTCAAAATAAAGAAAAAGTAATAGAAAAGGCAAACATAGCTCGAGATAGTGCAAAAATATTTCAACCAGGTCAGAAAGCATTCGTTAAGAAAAATATACGTCAGAAAAATGCAAATAAATTCCAAAAATCATGTACACTAACATCAGTCGATCCTGGTAAAAAGACCGCTACTACTGATAAACACAATAAAGTACATATCGATAATTTGAAGCGTCCCCTTCGCAAACCATATTCATTTAGCAACTAAATGTTTCTCTCCAAGTACGACATACATACATGTAGGTATTATTCATTTGCAGATTCCTGCAAGTAACGGTTGGACTTCAGGATAGCATAACTATACGTAACCTCGACAACAATCCAGGACTACTTCCCGTGGAAATTGGTGAAGCAAAAGTAAAAGACTATGACTTTTCACTCATTCATTATTATGATATGAATCCCATCATTTCTGAAATTGAAAAATTATCAATTTCCTCCTCACGTATAGCAGAAACCATTTCTTCAAATTTAAATGTCACTACATATTTGTCCAATTATTTCAGAACATTAAAATTTGTTCAGCGACAGGTAGAACAAAAGTTACATAATATATTTCCCCATACAAAGCGAGGAAAAAGAGGCATATTAAATGGCATTGGGTCGATATTCAAATCAATAACTGGAAACCTTGACGCCAATGATGGCGAACGTTTCGAAAATCTAATTCGAGAGCTTCAAAATAATCAAAGAGAATTGACTAACAGTGTCACACAGAATAATGCACTGTCAATATCTCTTATTGATAAGTTCAATAAAACTGTTCAGCAAATCTGTCATAATGAACAATTGCTGAATAATAAAATTAATACCATATATGCAATTGTTCATCGTACTACAATCGATTCAGATCAGCATAAATTCATAGTAGACACAGTATCTCAAATTATGAACAGCTACGAAGTAACTCTGTCAATATTACAAGACGTTGAAAATTCAATAATTTTTGCACGTCTTGGAACAATTCACTCTAGCATTATTACAACCGAAGAAATTTTTGGTGAACTGAAACTATTGAGCTCAAGATTAGGCCAGGAAAAATTTGCGATTCCAGTTTTACTAGATAACATACCAACTTTTGAAAAAATAATCAAAATCTCCAGTTATTCTGTGGGCAACAAAATTACATTCGTTTTATCATTCCCAATCTCGTACCATGAGTCATTTAACTTATATCGTCTCTTTCCAATCCCGATATATTTTGAAGGTCAATTTAAGACTATCATTCCAAAGGAGCCTTATTTGGTAAAAAATGAATTGCAGTTTGCACTTTTCGGCGACATTTGTACTGAAATTACTCCTAAAAAGTTTCTCTGCGAGAAGACCATCTTGCGAGACATTAATGGTCCATTACCCTGTGAACTTGAACTATTCAATGGAAGAAACGCCCCTGCATGTGCCCGAACTCCACTGATAATCAATCAGCCAAGTATCGAACGAATCCAACGGACTAATCAATGGGTATTGATCCTGCCACTACCAGAAGTTATCAAAATGGAATGCCACGAAGAAATTCAAATGAAAAGATTGACGGGAACTTACCTACTTTATATTCCTGTCAACTGTCAAGCCGAAATTAATCACCAAATCATCAAAAATGAACCCGAAACGATTGTCGCGGGCCAACCTATAATATTCCCGGATTTAAACCTGGACACTAAAGGCGACATCACAGAAACAAATTTCAGTCTGCATCTAGAAAAAATTAAGCTAGACGAGTTAAGTAAAATCAAGTCAAGCATTATCAACAACAAACCCAACTTCAAAAAACCTACAGAATTTTTTATACCCAGTGCCTGGACACTGATAATATATGGATGTATATTACTCTTGGGTGTCTACGCATTCTGGAAAACCATTTTGAAGAGGAGGAAGCTCAGAAATAGAAGTATTCAACAACCAGAAGTCGAACTTCATCCTATTCAACTTCCTTGAAGAATTCTTCCCCGAAGTTGAATCTCAGGGGGGAGGAGTTATATCAGCCGTTCCTGCTGATATGATAGGAATACTGCCGACGATGCTACTAATTTCCTAGAAGACCTAGAGTTTACTTTATTGTTCTCAACACATTTTACAGTCAGTCAGATTTAAGCCTTTGTACTGTTTACATCATAATAACATTGTAATAATTTTATAAAAGTACAGTTTTGAGTTTTGTATTTTCGAAAAATAAACTTTTTAAAAAGCGATCTCGAAGCATCGATCTTATAACTCACGTGAATCGAAACGTGATTGTGAAAAATTATTTCACTGACAACTGGTGTTGGAAATAAACCTTTCGTTAAAAACGTGTATACTTTATATCTACATAGCTTAATGTCATACGAACATCAAACAGACCAACCATTTTCCTAACATAAAAGCATTTGTGCAGTTCATCCAACTAATATTTAATTCGATTTTTTGTTTTGTTTGGGAGACGATTGTATCAAGCCTATGATTCATGAACATCTTTTTTTTTATACTCCAACTACCACGAAGGCCTAAGGCCTAAACACCCATTGGGTACCGTGGGGCTATAGGGGGATACAGGTGAAAGGGGGAACGCCACACGGACTCTGGGGAGGGAACACGTGTGCATGCAACATGCACACATTCTGGCTCCGCCTACGAGATCCGCCGGGTGGTACCTCCACGTTCGACAGTCAGAGACCGTCTACCACCTACGGACAATTACAACATCCATAGCCAAGAGAAAAATTTCTCCTGGGACGGGACTCGAACCCGCACAGCGTACGGCGACTGATCAAGAGACCGAAGAGTCTACTACTGCGGAAACCGCTGCTGCCTGCGATCTTGAAGATCATTTAGTTTATTTCGGAGGCATTATACATTTGTAATTCATGCGCCATTCTTTACTATGATTCTGAAGCGTAAAGTGGAAATTGGTCGAAAATTTTGAACAAAGTGATAAATCTTGATGCACATGCTCAGGAAGTATAAAATGATTATACGATTAGGAGCTTTAGATTAAACTTTTAAGTGGAATTACTGTCGTTAATAAGTCCAGACGAATTAGTGAGCTGATATTGTGTCATTACTGATTTTATGCATACGACTGACATTTTTTATCACCTTCTGGAAAGTTCGAGCCCTACTCTTGCAAAAAAGCGTAAACAATATTTTAGTTTCACTTTTTGACAAAGTGTTTTATTGCACTTCAAAGTTTCTTGCACTCTAAAAAGTTTCGTTATTCCCTGATAATGATACATTCCGTTTAAAAGAAAACAAGTTGTTTTGCACCGGACCAAAGTAGGTAGTCTTAAGTTTATTTGATAAGCATATTATAGGACGACGGTTAGTAGCAGGCAATATTTTCAAGCAATTTAGATAACTTGTTCTGAATAATTTGCCCACGTTTCAAGATAATAACAAAGACGCAGGGTCTAATAATCAGCTAGATAGTCGAAAGTGGATAATCGATAATTGTCTTACTGAAAATAAAAGTACGGAAATGTATAGCATTCGTTCAGACTTTTAAATCGCGATAATTGATGCAAATCACTATCGTGGCTACCTGCGTATTTCAGTTTGATGCACACGATTGACTTTCTGTCAGGCGTTTGTTGAATTGTAAATATGCGAAAAGAGAAGTTTCTCACGTTCTTCCAAATCGTCGGTCGTACATACGAAACGGTATGCACATAAAAGCAGTTTCATAAAAGTAGGCTATGCAAATTCTGTCATGCTTTTAAAAACACCCACATTACCATCAATGATCGACATTGCAGATACATATTTGAGTTTCCGCAAAGCAAAACTGTTACCTTGGTGTTGAGTTATGTATGTAGACAGGTCAAAAACTATGATTTCGTTTGAAAAATATTTTTTTTAAGTTTTAAGTAAGATATGTCTAGGGGCAATAAAGGTCATGCAAGGTTAATTTTTACACTAAGATATAGCAATATCAGGACCCTATGCATGGGGATCTCAATATCTGCGTGAGATCAAGCTTAGGTTAAATTAAGAAGAAGTTGCGTTCTTTCGGGCGTATTTACATTCCGTTGAGAAACTAACTGAAAATTCCATCGTTTACTGAGATTTTTGGGAAAAACTCAAATTTGACCAAAGATTTAAATTTCTTATTACTTTATTCTAAGAAATATAAAGAAACTAGTTTTTTCGTTAGCACTGTTCAGGCATTACATGATGGTGTTTTTAAATTTTGTGTTCAACGGTTCGTTTTTGAGATTGAAATATCTGAATAGCATTTTTATACGAATTCAACGATGTTGCGTTTTATCTGTTTTTTTAAGTAGGCGTTGCAAACAAATGCTTGACTTACTGACGTAAATGACTATCATTGAATATTGTTATCATTGTGTAATGTTAATATTGCTTTATTATCGTCAAAGATGTCAGGCAGTTATTTTAGCAATGAAGAAAAGTTCGACATGCTGACGTGCTACATTTTGTACTTAAAAAATAGTAAAATACTGCAGAAATGTATCTTGATATATTTCCCGAAGGAAAGCAGACAAGTAAGTCCATTTTCTTAGATTTAAATGAAATTGGTTCTCCCAAAAAGCTCTTTACGTCTCAGAAAAAGAAATCTTTAGTGGAAACTAAGGGTAGTGTTTTACAAGCGGGTTATTTATTTACCTTCAATTGTTACAACATGATCTAGAAGACTGCCTGAATAATTAACCCTTTGGTACATGTTAATAGCTGTTGGTTTCAAAAAGACGGTGCTCATGTACATAACTCTAGGCAAGTTCGAGAATATCTTTCTTAACGATTTCCCGGAAGGTCCTGGCCAGCGCGTTCCCCGGATTTAACTCCTCTGGACTTTTTTGTTTGGGGTTTTATTAAAAACCAGATTTATCTGCATAGATTTGAAACTGAGCAGTAATTACTAGAATGTGCAATGGACGCAATTAGTATGACCACACCAGAAATGTTACGTGATGTTTTGGATTCAACTGTTAGATCATATTTATATTTGGAAAATAATGGCACCCTCTTTGAACAACTATTGTGAATAAAATAAAAATAATGTTAAAATGTATTCGTTATTCTGAATATCACTGTATTAAGCATCATTTTGTAAAAGTTTTACCCCATCATATCTGATATCAAGCATTTGTATTCAAAGTTTACTTAAATGAGATAATATATATATATATATACATATATATATATATATATAAAAGAACACATTTTTCTTCATAACTAAGAAAATAAATGTAACATGTGATACATCGAGTTCGTAGAATAAGATGCTATCAGATACAAGGTGCAGTTTTTCGGATCATATGAAAAAATAGAATTGATGATTGCTTCTCAAAATTAAAACGTTGGACACAAAATTTAAAAACACCATGATTTAGTGCCTAAGAAGTGCCAATGGAAAAGTTCCATAAGTTTTTTGACATTTTTTAAAATAAAGTCAGGAAAAATAAAAACTATGTGGTCAAATTTTAGCTTTTCCCAAATATACCAGTAAGACATGAAATGTTAACAAGTTTCTCAACGATCAACGGCATGTAAATACGTCCCAAAGAACGCAGCTTTTTTCTAAATTAACCTAAGCTGTATCTCCCACAGGTATTGAGATCCACAAGCATAAGAACCTAATCTTGAAGACCATGTATGCCCCCCTCTCTAAATCTGCCAATGATAGCAGACCTGCAATACTAACTACAGAGTATTACAAATTTAAAACGAGAACAGTAGTAGACTGCCGTTTGTGGGTGCCTTTGTCTGCGCCACTATGATGTTGCCTCTGTGAAGGCTCACTTTCAATGTAAAGGTAATATCACAGTCGATTGATTGACAAAAAGGGCTATTGAAACCAGATTCTTCTTCCTTTGCCCATCGGAGCCAAGATAACTGTGTTTGTTGTATGGGCACACCCACAACGTAACGTCTTCAAAAACATGTGCTTATTCGTTGTTTCTGCCTTGTCTTGTTTAGTTTACGTCTAGTGAAATTGTCATTGGAATCGATATTTCCGTAACGGGAGTGTGACATGATTGAGTTATAGTTTAATGCGAATAAACTTCAAGCGCAAAAATAAAACATAAAATTACGATGAAATGCATGCAAAATAATGGGACGACATGGAATTATGCATTTGCCGTTATGCGAATTATCTATAACCAGTGTCATTCGTGCATAGTATAGTTTCTGTTACTTTTGCAATGTGATTGGTTTTTTGTTCATTAAAGGAAACGAGTTTGTATTTGTGCACTAGAAAATGTGCTTTGATGCCTGACTTAGAATGCTGGTAGACAACAGATAACTGAGTAAAATATCCATTGTTAATGGGCGAGCGGGATATACAGGGTGTTACAGAAAGACTTACCAATATTTCTCGGGTAGAAAGTACATTAAAAAATAACAAAAAAAGTTCCTATAACTATGTGTTCCCTACCGAGTCACAGGATAATGAAGCTTGAAAAAAAAAAATGATATCGACAGAGCGGGTACAGACACTGGGTTAAGATATTAGACTGGTTATATATAAATAAAAAGTATTTTAGATGACATATTATGACATGCACATGCATCAAGAAAAACCAAGCTAGCTATTCTTGTTGCTCCGCATCAAATTAGACATGGTCCTTCATCGCTACCTCTAGCAAGACTTCTAGGTTGTTGCTGCGTGTCCAGGTATTTATGACTCGCTGGTCAACAAAACGCGCGAATTTGAACATGAAGCTTGAATACAGTATAGAATGCTACATGCTACTATGTTGTGCTATATTTATTTTTGAATATCGATTGAGCTGCTGCAGAAATAATGGCAGAAAACAAGCGACCCGAAATGTCCACAATCATCATGTGTTTTTCTTCCAGGACTTGTAGGTAAATACCATTAAAATTAAAATAATGCAATTCCTACTATTCATTCATCAGATATTATTAAAAGTACGTTACCAACATCTGCCCACACTTTTATGGGGATAAGCATAGAAGTGAATGTGCAGATCGCAACTTGCTTGAATCGAAACATTCCTTAATGATGCTGACTTCATTCCAGTTTCTAAATTTTAAAAACGTTTTTATACGTTTTCTAGGATCCACAGCACATTTCGGAGCAGCTTCAATAACACCTAAGTGTTTCAGAATTTGTATGAGTGATTATGTTTAGGACAAAGATATACTTATAGTAATGCATGAGATGTACTTAGTCATCCTACTTGACATCACTTTTCTTTAGCTCTTATTTCGTGCAAGCTTTCAGCTGAATATCTTTGGTGTAGCACCTTTGGTAAAAATCCCGAGATTGGTATTTCCAAGTGCTTATTTATTTGGTAGGACCGGTTTCCACTTACCTGTCCAAACAAAACGGCAAACGTATTACAATATTTAAAAAAAATCACTGTTCCACTATACAGGGGCGTACTTAAATTTAAAATCGTATTTGATCGAATTTAGCAAACTGTTATATATAGTCAACGCCAAACAAAGTGGCGTGCACGTCATCACGATAAAAATTCCCCGACCTAATGCCTAGGTTTCTATCACAAACAATTGCTCTATTGCAGTTTCATATTAATGTGATATATAAATTGTAAAATGGTCATTACTCTCTTATTATGGTTAATAGTCATATAAACATTGTTATTAAAATATCACATAAGTTGCTTTCTGATAAATTTAGACGCATTATGCGAAATAAAATGTTTTGCAAACGCTCCAATCACTTATCGACATG